GAATAAGTAATCTCCCTATGGAGGATCAATTTTAGAATTAATTTTTGGATTACCTCAACCTTTTTGTAATTATTATTCATAACTCCCCCCCAAGCCAAAATTCCGTAATGTAATAGAGGATAAACAAGAGCATAATATAGATTATATGATATTTCTTATCTAGAATATCTCTGAAGTACCTGAATTTTGGAATAATACATCTCAGTCTCTTCACAAGGTACTCTGTATGGGTATCCCATTTTAAGTGTTTGTCCAAAATCACGCCTAAGTATTTTACTCTATCGGCTGACTGAATCTCTTTGAGACCACTGCTTGTATGAATTTCAAGTTTTTTAAATTGTGGTGAGAGCTTGTCGTTACAAGAAAATGCTATATAGTGTGTTTTGTTGTAATTAATTGTCAAAGTTCTTTCCGAAAAGAAATTTTTAAATGTTTTGAAATCATGTTCGATTGTGGTTTTTAGTGTATGCCACTGGTTGTTTTCATAGAGAATAGCTGTAGCATCCGCAAAACCGATAACTTTACCTGTACTACTTATTTTGAACAAATCGTTGATAAATAGATTAAATAAAATGGGTCCTAATACTGAGCCTTGAGGTACACCGTATGATATAATATGGGGTTCACTGAATGTGTTATTAATTTTGACGCACTGTGTTCGATTTGACAAATAATTTTCTATGAGTTTGTATGTTATTCCCCGGAAACCTAAGTTTTCTAAAGTTGTTAAAAGCGATTCATGAGTAATGGAGTCGAATGCCTTTGCCAAGTCAACAAAAACACAAGCAGTTGGTTTGCCAATATCGAGATTCGTGTATATTTTATTTGTTAATTTTACAATAGCATCTTGAGCAGATTTTCCTTCTTGAAAACCATATTGCTCTTCCGCTATTAAGTTATATTTTTTTGCAAATTCGGTGTATCGTTTTTTTAACACTTTTTCAAATATTTTAGAAAAATTTGTTAAGATGGAAATTGGTCGATAGTTGATGGGTTTTTCTCTTTCTCCAGATTTAAATAATGGTTTCACCATAGTGTGTTTTAAACATGAAGGGAATATTCCTTTATTCATACAAGAAATTATCAAATATGATAGTATGCCGCAGATGTTGCAATTTATTCTCTTGAGAGTATACGCTGTTATATTATCTAGACCTGGAGATTTTCTTAATTTCAATTCATTGATTATTGTCTTTATTTCATGCGTATCGGTCGGTTCCAGATATAATGAGTTATACAGGGTGGTCCATAAGTCCTTTGAAATTTCAAATTTGAATAAAATTTAACGGGTGAGCGTGAGCGGCGCGGGCGAGGTGGGGGCAGTATCTTCAGTGTCTGGGAATTCAGTCGCCATGGAGTGTTTCACTGGAGCGGATCGTGCTTTTTGTGTGCGCGCGTTTTATCAAAATAATGATTCGGCAACCATTGCGCGGCGTAAATATCGAGAATACCATAATTTACACAATTTTACAAAGTGTCCAACAGCTCAAACGATTAAGAACTGGGTTGCTAAGTTCGAAGAGACTGGTTCGACGTTAGATAAACAGCGGTGGGGTCGACCAAGGACAACTCGTATTGAAGAAAACATCAACATTGTGGCACAGTCTGTTCGTCAAAATCCTACCCAGTCTACTCGTAAGCGTTCCAGTGCACTAAACGTACCCAGAACATCTTTACAGCGGATTTAAGGAAAGATTTACGTCTGCACGCTTACAAAATTCAGTTAGTGCAGGAATTAAGAGATAATGACGCTATTCAGAGACTAAACTTTGCGAATGAAATGTTGAATCGATTTTCTTCGCTCAATAATGTGTTGTTCTCGGACGAGGCTCACTTCCATTTAAACGGGCATGTAAACAAACAAAATTGCCGTTATTGGAGCCCCGAAAATCCAAGGCGTAAGCATCAGAAGCCCTTACACAGCCCTAAAGTTACAGTTTGGGCTGCTATGTCAGCGCATGGCATCGTAGGTCCTTATTTTTTTGAGGACGACAGAGGTCGCGCATTAACTGTTACTTCGGAGCGGTATGTAGCAATGATAGAAGAGTTTTTGACACCAGCGTAGCAGAATTTTCCAGGCTATAATACGCAGACCTGGTTTCAACAGGACGGAGCAACTGCCCACACCTCCAACACTTCTATGCCCGTCGTCTGTCAACTTTTTCCCAGCAAAGTAATTTCTCGAAGAGGAGACATTTCCTGTCCACCACGTAGTCCAGATTTGACCCCAATGGACTTCTTTTTATAGAGCTACCTCAGGAGTAAAGTGTACGACACCACTCCGCGATCAGTTGATGTCCTGAAAGAAAATATCCGAAGAGAAATGGCAAGCATTACAGTGTTGACTTGCCGCGCAGTCATCGACAATTTTAGACGTCGTTTATATGAGTGCCATGATCATAATGGATTGCATTTAGACGATGTGATTTTTAAAACATAATTCCCATTCAATAAAGATGATAACAAAATATAATAATTCTTCATAATGTAACTAGTTTGGTTTTATTCCTTTTTTTCCAGCTCAAAGGACTTATGGGCCACCCTGTATAATCTGGTCTTACTATAATTTAATTTCTCTGCGTTTTTTATGCTTTCTGACAACCTTTTCCCGATTTTTGAAAAATATTCACAAAATTCATTTGCTATATCTACATCATTACTCACTAGTTCACCATTTTCTTTTTTAATTGTACTAATTTTGTTGTTTTGTTTTTTGCCTTGTATTTTATTGATAAATTGCCACATTTTGGACGAACTTGAAGATATTTAATTTTAGCCTCTTTAATTATTTTTGTCAGTCTGTTTCGATATGATTTAAATTCATTCAAAAGTTTAACATCATAAGGATATTTTTTGGTTTCCTTATATAATTCTATTTTTTTGTTGATGGAGGTAATAATCCCTTTTGATATCCATGCTTGTCTTTTTATTTGTGTTCGTGGAATCTTTACTGGTTTGGTGCATTCAGCAATATGGCGTTCAATGCTAGATATAAAAAGGACAAATGCATTTTCAATATTGGGTTCGTTATATACTACAATCCATTTTTCATTCAGTAAGTTGTTATTTAGTTTTTCATAATCAATGTAAATTTTTGTATTATTCACTGTCTTTTTAATTTTGGTTGATATACTTTCAAGATCGATTTTGAGCAAAGTAGGAAAATGATCAGAAATTTTGTATTTTAGAATTGCTGAATATATTTTGTCAAGTTCTAAACGTGAATTTATAAACATATGATCTATACAACTCCCACTGTTTCCTTCTACTCTTGTCATTTCGTTAATGGCTGACAGGTAACCATGTTCAGCCATTATATTTAAATAATCTTGAATATTTTGATTGTTATGATCTAATATGTTAATGTTAAGGTCTCCAATAAATAAGTTGATGTCAAATTTTCTACTGCTTTCTAGATAATCATGTAATTGACCGTTAAATGTTGTTACAGATATACAGGGTGATTTGTACACACCAATGATCTGTATCCATTTATTATTCTTTTGAAGAATAACTCGTAAAAGTTTTGTTTGAGTTATATTAATAATTTCATACCCACTGTTCAAATTTTGTCTTACGTAAATCAGAACCCTGTCATTTTTATTAAAACTACCATCGTTATAATATAAATCATAATTGGGAATTTCGATCAAACTTGTATCATATACTTTAAATGTTTCAGTTAGCACTATAACATCATTTAAAATCTAGTATATCCAACATATTTCTATGAATGCTCCTTATGTTCGTGTGAAAGATGTTCAATCCTGAATCAATATTATTAGAAAAACGTAACTTTGTTGTAGGTAAATCGTCTAAAATATTTGTTTTAATTATTTCAGGTCCAAATTCTGTAATGTATCTACTCATAAATATTCTAAGTCCTTAGGAATTTAGAATAAAATTCTTGATATATGTCTTTGTTGGAAAAATTTAAATACAGCACAACATTTATCTGTAGGGGAGTGATGTGTATTATAGTTTTTATTATATTTTTTGTTTGAATACACACAGTTGCAACAAATGGGATTAGTAGATTTGTTGCATGAAGTATCATCATGTTCTTCTCCACATTTGAAGCAAACTTTATGACTATTACATTTCTTACCAGAGTGATTAAACTTGAAGCAATTTGTACATTGAGTTACCTCATTATTAGGATATACTGATAAATTTTGAAAACCAATTAAAATTTTTCCACCATTATTATCAAATATTTGTCTGAATAGTTTACCTGACACCACTGCGTAAACTATATTCATCTTTTTTTGAGGAAGGAATCTAACATAGGTGATTTTTAAATTTTCTTTTGTTATAAAGTGGTTTTGTCGCATAATATCTTCTTCTATTTCACGTTCTTGAAGTTTTTCTTCAGAGTGGTAGCCAACAATCTTTATTTTAGGATTAAACATTTTCGGTTCGGATATTGTATATGTTGATGGCAGATTCTTTCCAATTTCTTCTTTTAGCTTCTTATGGTAGCGGTCTTCTACACATAATTCAATACCACCATTTTTAGAGTTCCTAACAGTTTCAATTTTGACGTTTATTTTTGATAAATTCAAATTTTTGTTCAGCTCGTTCTTAGTTCTGTAGTTAGACTGTTGTTGTTCAGGGGTAATGATAAGACTTTTAAGTGATCATTATTGTTAATATATAAACTCAATACACCATATGCTTTTAGAAACTCCAGGGATTAGTTCTGCTGTTCATCTAGTAGGTACCTAACATAAAAGAAAATGTAGCTTGTCTTCAAGACATAATATATTCTTCCAGAAAGTTTATGAAGCTAATCATTTGATTGCTCCCTTTCTATATATCAAAGGGGGATATATCTTACCTTGTAACGTAGTCCTGCTATATGTGGCACAAATGATATAAAAGTAATGTTGTAATCGGCTATGAACATGAGAGTAGGAACCGCGTACTTTACAATAAATGGAAGTTTGTTGTCACCGAGTACATTTGAGAACGCGCTCCAAAAGATACACATGACTTACCATTTCGTTGGACAGTCTTGCTGTTACACTTTACCCACGACACTGAGCTGGCTTCAGGTGTCGGCGTTTCTGGTCTCTGTTGTTGCCATTGCGTTCGAGACTGATACTGAGAGCCTATAAGCAGTATTTGAACTGAGACAACAGAGAAATAACTTCAACCAAAAATGACTTTCAGCTTCTATCATGAGCTAGTAAGATTTGTTGCTCTACGTGTACGGAGTTAAGCATGACGCAATATAGTCGACCATGTTAATCACTGAACAAAACTTTACCTGCTGAGCCTGCAGAACCATTCGCAGGGCAAGAGCATTGCATAGTAAATGCCTTTTATGTTGGTTTACAAAAAATAAATTTATCACTTTGTGCATTAGATCCTAATGATTGAAGTCACTGGAATATTGTTCTTCATATTTCCGAAGAAGTTACTTATGATTTTGTGGGATGATAGCTTATGCTGTTAATGGAAATGACTCTCTTGACAATGATTTAGCGCGGTAGCTTGTGCTCAGCTAGTCTAGTCTGAAACTAAGCTACACGAGCTAACCCAAGACGTTTATTCAGGGTGTCCCATTTTAATATCCCTACCTAAATATTTCGAAAACTAAGCATCTTAGAATAAAAGTTTTAAACAAAAGATTTTGGAAGGTGCAAAACGATGAACCATGACCTGGACTGCGACCTTCAAGATTATTTCAAGGTCAAGCGAATATTTTTAAATGGAGATACTACTTTTTTATATGGGAATTGGAAAGATGAGAAAATTTCACGTCCTAGTGTGACCTTGACTCTGATTATCATCATGATCTTCAAGGACATAAAAAGGTCAAATCAATAAATACAAAACACATTAGCTCTAGCAGAAATGTTCGACAGCACGTTGTGAACTTTGCGGAGATCATCCAAAGGTGATCTTGATCAATGACCTTGACCTTCACGTTTGATGAATGATGATATTAGACGGTATTCGAATTTAAATATGGTAACGTTTTTCTGGGTTCTTATGGGTGTGGATTGAAAACACTCGATTCCTCAAGAAGAAATGCACTAATTTATTTAAAACACAACACAACGAACTTTAACTTGTCTAGATAGAACATTTACGTCCACCAGTATTTATACTAAGTGACATATAAATCCGAACACCCAGTTTAAATGGTTTTATTTTAATAAAAGTTGGTGAATGTATTTATCTTACTGTAAATAACAAGTGAAAAAATTTTCAGCCTTATCAGTTGGACATTCCGGTTTTTATACTGTTTTTAATTCACTAACGCTCTAAAAATGAATATTTCACCCGCAGTAAAGAATCAACGTTGGCGGATTTTGGTTTTTGACATCCTTTACGATCGGTTACGATGCCTAGAGTACGGAGACCTGTACGATTTCGTCAAATTAGTGAGTTTGATAGGGGCCGTATAGTGGGACTTCGGGCAATTGCAGTTAGAGTGCAAAGAAGTGTAGACACTGTGGTTAGGTGTTGTCAGGCATGGCTTCGAGAAGGTCGTACGCCAAGAGCAAGGGGCACTGGACGCGGCCGTAGAACAACAGACCGTGAAGATCGCCGCCTAAGATTATTGGCCTTAAGGGACCGTTTCTCCACTACCAGGTCCATTGCAAATGAATGGTTTGCAGAACACGGAAGACCTATTGGCATGCGAAGTGTTTACCGACGAATGAGAAGTTTTGGCTTGTTTTCATACCGACCAGACTGGGTCCTCCCTTTAACTCGAGAACACCGACGTAATCGCCTTGAGTGGTGCAGACAACGGTCACTCTGGGATCAGGAATGGAACAGTATTGTCTTTAGTGACGAGTCTCGATTTTGTTTAGGCATGCACGATGGTCGTGCCAGGGTTAGAAGGCGACGTGGTGAAAGGAGGAATCCACAGTTTTTTGTTGAAAGACATGTTCATCACACTGTTGGAGTTATGGTTTGGGGTGCTATAGCTTATGGTTCCAGGTCACCTTTAATCTTCATCAGAGGTAACGTGAACGCGCAGCGTTATATCTACGAAGTTCTAAAACCCCATCTTTTACCCTATCTTGACACCCTGGCAGATCCAACTTTCCAACAAGATAATGCCCGACCACATGTAGCAAGAGTCACAATAGACTTCTTTCAACATAATGATGTCACATTGTTACCATGGTTACCAGATCTCTCGACTTATCCCCAATTGAGCACGTGTGGGATATGATGGGTAGGAGATTGCTCAATTTGCAACGTCCTCCTCAGACTCTAGAAGCACTTCGAGAGAAGTTGGTGGTTGCCTGGAATGAGATACCACAGGAGGACATTGACCACCTGATCAGAAGCATGCCTAGTCGCGTTGGAGAATGCGTAGCAGATCAGGGTGCATCCACACATTATTAAAGGTCAAAGGGCTTTGAAGCAGTGCAATCATTTTGAAATTTTTATCATTTACTTATTATGCTTCATTAAGTACTTATACAAAATTTTATTAAAATAAAACCATTTAAACTGGGTGTTCGGATTTATATGTCACTTAGTATATGTCTGATTACTTACTTACGAATCATTATGTCGCGCCATTATCTGAACTCTACTCTGCCTTCCTCTCCCGGCCGTTACCCTATATATTCCGCATCGCATGTACTCGTTAATTCGAGAAAGTTCCGGTGAGCCAGCGGCAGTCCATGTGGTCGGGCATTATCTTGTTGGAAAGTTGGATCTGCCAGGGTGTCAAGATAGGGTAAAAGATGGGGTTTTAGAACTTCGTAGATATAACGCTGCGCGTTCACGTTACCTCTGATGAAGATTAAAGGTGACCTGGAACCATAAGCTATAGCACCCCAAACCATAACTCCAACAGTGTGATGAACATGTCTTTCAACAAAAAACTGTGGATTCCTCCTTTCACCACGTCGCCTTCTAACCCTGGCACGACCATCGTGCATGCCTAAACAAAATCGAGACTCGTCACTAAAGACAATACTGTTCCATTCCTGATCCCAGAGTGACCGTTGTCTGCACCACTCAAGGCGATTACGTCGGTGTTCTCGAGTTAAAGGGAGGACCCAGTCTGGTCGGTATGAAAACAAGCCAAAACTTCTCATTCGTCGGTAAACACTTCGCATGCCAATAGGTCTTCCGTGTTCTGCAAACCATTCATTTGCAATGGACCTGGTAGTGGAGAAACGGTCCCTTAAGGCCAATAATCTTAGGCGGCGATCTTCACGGTCTGTTGTTCTACGGCCGCGTCCAGTGCCCCTTGCTCTTGGCGTACGACCTTCTCGAAGCCATGCCTGACAACACCTAACCACAGTGTCTACACTTCTTTGCACTCTAACTGCAATTGCCCGAAGTCCCACTATACGGCCCCTATCAAACTCACTAATTTGACGAAATCGTACAGGTCTCCGTACTCTAGGCATCGTAACCGATCGTAAAGGATCTCAAAAACCAAAATCCGCCAACGTTGATTCTTTACTGCGGGTGAAATATTCATTTTTAGAGCGTTAGTGAATTAAAAACAGTATAAAAACCGGAATGTCCAACTGATAAGGCTGAAAATTTTTTCACTTGTTATTTACAGTAAGATAAATACATTCACCAACTTTTATTAAAATAAAACCATTTAAACTGGGTGTTCGGATTTATATGTCACTTAGTATATGTCTGATTACTTACTTACGAATCATTATGTCGCGCCATTATCTGAACTCTACTCTGCCTTCCTCTCCCGGCCGTTACCCTATATATTCCGCATCGCATGTACTCGTTAATTCGAGAAAGTTCCGGTGAGCCAGCGGCAGTCCAGAATCTTCGAGGTCACTTCGCGCCGATCTCGAAGGAGAGTCCCTGGCGCCGTTCCCAAAAGATGTCGCTCGTAGTACCACTCGGTGTCAGGCTCGCATCAAATGAGAGTCACTGGCGCGAGTCCCTACAGATGGCGCTGCTAGTACGATTTATTCTAGTTACAATATGTTTAAGGGGAAATTAAAAATCACTTTGTGAATACCTAAAATGCATAGTTATGTAATTTTAATAGACAAGAATTTAAAATTATAGAAATTGCTCTAAAAAATGTGTAAATGAATAATTATACAAAACTGACATTAAATAAATCTTCAACAAACAAACAATCTCGTCGACTGGCGTGAGAAGTAATGATACACAGTATACTAGAATCTGTGGCTTTAATAGCAAACTAGATGCTCCGAACTCATATGAAACATCATATTTACGTCAAGTTCAATCAAACGGTTTTGTGTTATCGAACTCCCAAAATTTCTAGTGAGAACTCCGTATTCCATAAGGATATCAAACAAGTTATTATCGGATATCCCTGTAAATGATAACCAGCTGCCGGAATGTCTAGTAGAGCCTACTATCAAAAGACCGACATGAGCCAAAGATCCCCCCAACCAACTTACTACGAAGAAGGTGCTGATGATTATAGATACCAAGATGGTTATGCTTCAGAAGGGAAGCCCCGTCCTGCTGGCCAAGATGAATATAGTGATTATGATTATGATCAAGATACAGCTGACGATGCTTATAGTGGAGATGAACCCTCTGAAAGTGCTCATCAGGCTTATCCTGGTATGTGTATCTTTTAATTTATCACAAATTCGATAGCTTTTGCGGTACTGGTCTTTCGGAATGGCCACCAATTCGTAGTCAATTTGATTGCGTCCTGATGGTATTACTAAAATAATTTCTGGGTGCCTATGGGCTAAGAACAATGACATATTAGCCAAAGCAACTCAGATGGCGAAAACGGTAGGTATAGTCACACGAACTTAATGGGAACGTTCACCATGCAATGTGAGACCTTGTATCAAATACAACAAACGTTTAAAAAAATTGGGCATGTCATCATTAAGCTAATGTTGTACTGGTGGTACCATGCTGTATGAAATTACAAGGGCCACTTTATATTCATATTTTAATTCAAAATGAAAGATTTCGTAATAAAAAGATAAATTTGTCTGCAAAGGGATGGATAAGATCAAAAACGAGTCTAAGCTTATAATTTGTAAATACGAAAATTGCTTAGAATTAATCTATACATTCTGTTTTAGGTCAAGTCTCACCTGGAACTCAATCTTCACAAGACTATAGATCACGACAAGCTGTCCAAAAGGCACAAGCCAGGTATTTTGAAATTAACGCATTTTATCTGTTGATAACTAACCAAAACATTATTCAAGATAAAATTAGACATAGTAGCGTCATCCATCAGAATTTGAAAATTATCAACTTCGAGAAGAGAAAAAAGTCACAAGGACTCAAATCAGGCGAATAAGGAGGCTGAAAAGCCACAGGAATGTTCTTACTGTCCAAAAACTCGTTTTTTGGCATTGCTGTGTGACAAGAAGCATTATCTTCTTGCAACACCCAGTTGTTCTTGATCTGATGAACGCTGGTGTGAGTCAAATTTAACTCGTTTCCGATCCTTCTGACTGCAACCGACAATCTAAACACAAAAAATCCCGGATCCTGTCGATTTTTATATCGGTTCTTCATCTTCAATCGACTCTAACCCTTCTGAAAATGCCTTAAATCACCAACAAATCTGAACTCTTGACAAAACACTATCTCCTTAGACCTGCTGAAGCTTAGCAAGGGTTCCATTGCACTGTACCCAACTCTGAAGCAAAACCTAGCACACCGCTGGTCGAAATTGATGTCATTCATTCTTAAAACACAATAGGAAAAACAAGGTTTCTCAAAAAAATCGCCACGGGCAACCAAATGATTCCAGCAAGTTCAAACTTGTACTGAAGGTGGATCACAGGTTCCACTGTCTCTCCTTCAAGCAGGGCGCCTCCAGTATTGCCGGATCGAATGCGACGTTGCCAGTCTCGTCACTTAATTTACAGTCCTCGTATATTTAAGCGATGTTTTTCAAGTGAATTGTGTTGAAAGAATAACCAGTTATGCAGATCATACTGAGATATTATTTGAAGAGATTGAATGCTCTCATCTGTAAAATATAATTGAACTTAATTTTGTCGAAATTATTCGGTGGTTTGATAGCGAAAATTGAGCATTAAATATCTTAAAACACAGTTTTTAGCATTTGCATCTTATGCTACACATTTGCCATATTACGCAGATATTTCCTTCAGCTTTAATAATCAAAGGTGCAAATTAATAGAGTGCCAAACATAAAATATATTGGAATAGTATTCGATTCTAGATTACGCTGGGCCATCCATGTCAATTATACACGTATTTCAAAGAAAGGTAAATTTGTTTCCTAGAAAACTAAATGCCTTGCGAATATACTGACAGAAAGGTATGTTTCTTGTAGATTTATTCAGCATTAAGGCTACAATATCAGTGTACAGTATATCACAAACATTTTATGTCTTCAAGTCTACATATTTTTATACAAAATTTCACCACTATAAATTCTGGTTATCCATGAAACAGTTTTTCAATTTCCTTTAAACATTTTCAGACTGACACACATCTTGATAATACTTAATTTATTAATTTCGTACAATCCTTTTTGAAATACTGATTTGTTTGTTATATTGCACAATTTTGTAAATGAAAGTCTATACTCTCCCTAGTAGAATAACTATCATTCAATTTAATAGAAATTTCTAAATGAGTTGGTAGATGATTTTTCAATTTGAATATGAAAATGAAAACCAAGTAGGTTATGATATGTTTGAAATTTAAACAAAATCGAGACTCGTCACAAAAGACAATATCGTTCCATTCCTGATCCCAGAGTGACCGTTGTCTGCACCACTCAAGGCGATTACGTCGGTGTTCTCGAGTTAAAGGGAGAACCCAGTGTGGCCGATATGAAAACAAGCCAAAACTTCTCATTCGTCGGTAAACACTTCGCATGCCAATAGGTCTTCCGTGTTCTGCAAACCATTCATTTGCAATGGACCTGGTAGTGTAGAAACGGTCCCTTAAGGCCAATAATCTTAGGCGGCGATCTTCACGGTCTCTTGTTCTACGGCGGCGTCAGGTGCCCCTTGCTCTTTGCGTACGGCCTTCTCGAAGCCATGCCTGACAACACCTAACCACAGTGTCTACACTTCTTTGCACTCTAACTGCAATTGCCCGAAAAGAAAGTCCAGCTTCCCGAAGGCTGAAATTTTTTTTACTTGTTATTTACAGTAAGATAAATACATTCACCAACTTTTATTAAAATAAAACCATTCAAACTGGGTGTTCGGATTTATATGTCACTTAGTATAATTTGTTAGTATCAATATATACACCCAAATATTTAAATGATTCAATATTTTCGATTATTTCACCATTAATCCTAACTTTGATAGTATTTTCATTGTAGTATTTCCCTATTAGCATACATTTTGCTTTAAAATCATTTCAGTTTATTTACATTTAACCAATGTATGATTTTTGTCAAGTCAAAATTTATCATTTTTGATGCACTGTATATATTTTCATCTGATATGTATATTACTGTATCATCTGCAAATATTTGAATTTTACAATAATCCAAAATATCACCAATGTTATTGTTGTATAAAATAAATAATAGTGGACCTAGTTTATTACCTTGTGGTACACTAACAGAAATATTTTTTGAGCCTGATAATGTAGATAGAATTTTGGTTTTTTGACCTGTTTCAATTAACTAGTTTTGTAGAATTTTGAATAGGGATCCTTTAAATTCATAGTGATGCAATTTTGTTAGTAATTTATCCCTGTGAGTAGTTTTGAAGTACTGTCACTGTATGTTTCCTATTGTCCATATATCTCCTCCAGTCATCGAAAACCATGTGTTTTGCAGTTTCGGTTGAGTGTTACTTCCTGGAACCAGCTTGAGAAGTCGTTAAAATTCTATACTAAGTGACATATAAATCCGAACACCCAGTTTAAATGGTTTTATTTTAATAAAAGTTGGTGAACGTATTTATCTTACTGTAAATAACAAGTGAAAAAATTTTCAGCCTTATCAGTTGGACATTCCGGTTTTTATACTGTTTTTTTAATTCACTAACGCTCTAAAAATGAATATTTCAGCCGCAGTAAAGAATCAACGTTGGCGGATTTTGGTTCTTGACATCCTTTGCGATCGGTTACGATGCCTAGAGTACGGAGACCTGTACGATTTCGTCAACTTAGTGAGTTTGATAGGGGCCGTATAGTGGGACTTCGGGGAGCTGGTCTTTCTTTTCGGGCAATTGCAGTTAGAGTGCAAAGAAGTGTAGACACTGTGGTTAGGTGTTGTCAGGCATGGCTTCGAGAAGGCCGTACGCAAAGAGCAAGGGGCACTGGACGCCGCCGTAGAACAACAGACCGTGAAGATCGCCGCTTAAGATTATTGGCCTTAAGGGACCGTTTCTCCTCTACCAGGTCCATTGCAAATGAATGGTTTGCAGAACACGGAAGACCTATTGGCATGCGAAGTGTTTACCGACGAATGAGAAGTTTTGGCTTGTTTTCATACCGGCCACACTGGGTTCTCCCTTTAACTCGAGAACACCGACGTAATCGCCTTGAGTGGTGCAGACAACGGTCACTCTGGGATCAGGAATGGAATAGTATTGTCCTTAGTGACGAGTCTCGATTTTGTTTAGGCATGCACGATGGTCGTGCCAGGGTTAGAAGGCGACGTGGTGAAAGGAGGAATCCACAGTTTTTTGTTGAAAGACATGTTCATCACACTGTTGGAGTTATGGTTTGGGGTGCTATAGCTTATGGTTCCAGGTCACCTTTAATCTTCATCAGAGGTAACATGAACGCGCAGCGTTATATCTACGAAGTTCTAGAACTCCATCTGTTACCCTATCTTGACACCCTGGCAGATCCAACTTTCCAACAAGATAATGCCCGACCACATGTTGCAAGAGTCACAATAGACTCCTTTCAACATAATGATGTCACATTGTTACCATGGCCACCAAGATCTCCCGACTTATCCCCAATTGAGCACGTGTGGGGATATGATGGGTAGGAGATTGCTCAATTTGCAACGTCCTCCTCGGACTCTAGAAGCACATCGAGAGGATTTGGTGGTTGCCTGGAATGAGATACCACAGGAGGACGTTGACCACCTGATCAGAAGCATGCCTAGGCGCGTTGGAGAATGCGTAACACATCAGGGTGCATCCACACATTATTAAAGGTCAAAGGGCTTTAAAGCAGTGCAATCATTTTGAAATTTTTATCATTTACTTATTATGCTTCATTAAGTACTTATACAAAATTTTATTAAAATAAAACCATTTAAACTGGGTGTTCGGATTTATATGTCATTAGTATATTTTCCTCGATGAACTCGATGATCTATTCGTAAATAATTATAATTTCTTCAAAGACTTTTTCAACATCTGGCAGATCATTTATTGGTGTACAACTCAATTCTTACATTTTAGACAAAATCTCACTCCTATTTTGATTTTAATTCAACTTAGATATAATATTGAGACGATTAATGCTTATCGTTCTAAACTCGCTGCATGATGCATTTTTTAAGCTATACGCTCATATATGTTTAAAAAGTTGTGTGTCGCTCATTTTTATCAACCAATCCGGTGTTTTTTCTTAGATATGCTCGATCCCATACACCACAAGCCCGTATAACTAACCAGCATCTATCGACCGCTCAAGCATACCGCCAATCTCAACCAGTTCTAACCCAACAACAACAGGCCAGGCAAGCTCAAATATGCCTTCATGAAAAATCACATCCAGCTCTACCACCGCAACATCAATCGCATCGACAGGTTGAACAGCAGTACTATGAACAGCAGCACCAACTTCAGTATCAACAGATGCAACGTGCACGTCAACTTCAACAAGCTCAACATGTTCATCAGTTGACGGGAGAACAAACCAGGCAAGAGGCAGCGCTACAACTACAGAGAGCTCAACAATTGCAAATTGAGAAGCAGCTCCAACAGCAGATTCAGCAAGCACAAATTCAACAATTGCAACAAGCCCAACAGATGAAGCAAGCTGAGCAGCAACAACAAAGTCAGCAGCTCCAGCAACAAGCTCAAGCTCAACAGCAAATGGAAGTGTTGCAGTCTGCTCGTCAATTGCAACAGGCTCAAGTTCAACAGGCTCAAAGAACCCAACAGGTATGAGAGATTTTCTTTAAATGGCGATGTTCAACAAAATCCCATTAGGCGCTGGAGTGGCTGGAAGTCAAACTGTCCAAAGTAGATGAGAAAAAGACATAGGATCATAACCCGTTTTTCACGATATTTCATCTTGTTCTGACGTCTCTTGATCATCTAGTCTTATGGTGAGGCTCATGTCGTTGCTCTTGATATCACGGAAGCTGTGGCATGCTGATCACAGCACTCCACATGCAGGAATTCAGAGCGGAAAAAAGACGACAAGCAGCTACAATGCGTTTAAAACACAGTACTCTACATTAAAGAACAAAAAACATTCTAGACCTCATCCGGTTTCGATGGATGGCCGAGTTCTGCCAAAGGGCATTTTATTTCGGCTGGCCTGAATCCAGATCACCGAGGACTTCATCAGCATAACTGTCGCTATCTACTTTAAGCTTTCATATTAAGGTGTTATTAGCATGGGGTGATTGAAAAGGACCAAAAGAGAGTTACAGTGCCAAGAAGAATCCTAACCAAGTTCGTAAGCGTTAAGTTCCTAGGTCTCTTCTCTGGTGTCAATGGCAGAAATGTCCCACAGAGGACTTAGGATTTTCAAATTAGATTCAAAAGTGAGTTTTAGGAAACATTTTCCAATTCTTGGTATTTCTTTATTTAATTCAGAGATCCTGAGTCACCTATGGCCCACCCTAGTTAGTTTATCATGATCTTTTCGGTTCGTCTATGTCTGTTAGCGGGATACGTGGTACCTCGGCTCTTGGTTGAGTCCCTGTCTGTCAGTATGTTTGTCAGATCTGGCTGCTCCGATACCAAAGTCAAGCAGAAATGGAGGAAAAGTGAAAAGAATTGAAAGAGCAACGGGGGAAAAATTTCTCTTCAATCATGTAAGAGACGGTGACATAATTATAAACATGAGTAAACAACAAACCCGTCTTAGAAGATTTCTAAGTATCACCCTGTTCCATTTTATATTTATTACAAGAGCATTTTTTTTCAGCTCATCCAGCAGCAGTATCAGCAACAGCAGCAAGCTTACTCTCAAAACACGTCAGCAGCCAAGAAAGCTCAACACCCAGTCCAAGCTGCACCGCCAGCCAGACATGAAGCTTCTAAAATTAAATCCAAGGACAACCTGACGATGCGACCTAAAACCGTTGAAGTGAGGAAACCTTGCCCTGTGGAGGCTGCAACCTCTCAGCAGTACGCTCAGCTAGGCGACTGGATGCAGCACCAACAGCAACTTCATGTCTATAATTCCCGTAATCGATCTCAGCTCCCAGCAAGGTAATCTGAGATATTGAGGCAACTGGACAGTACATACCAGACCTCAAATAGTCTTTGGACTCTTCTGATCAACTAAAGCTATTTGATCGTATCTTTCAGGTATCTGATGGATGGCACATACGCTGTCATGACTCCAACCAAGACCAGTGATGTAGCAAAACCTTCTCAACCAAGTATCACTTACCCATCATACGCAGCTCAATCAGGAGATACTCAGCAAAAAAGAGCAGGAAAAAGCATTGCGTATGCCACCGTGACGCCGACAGCTCTCAGGTCACCATCTCCTCATGCCAGGGCCGCTTCTGCCACCAGATCAGAGTCTACGTACCAACATCAGAATACTGCCGCGGTACGACCGTTGCAACAGTACGAACCACGCAAATCGCCGCCGCTTGCCGCGACCAGACAACAACAGCAACAACAACAGAGATATGCAAGTTCCGGTATGTCGCTGAAAATATTGAGAATTTCTCTAAATATCCCAAATTCTCTAAATACTCCAAATTCTCTATAAAATCCAAATTATCCAAATTCTCAAAATTCCCCAAATACTTCGATTCTAAAAATTTTCCAGATTCCCCAAATTCTCCGGATTCTCTGGTTTCTCTGGATTCTATAGATTTTCAAAGTTCTCTAACTTCTCTAACTTTCTACCTTCAACTCCTCTAACTTCTCTGAATTCTCTAAATTCTCTAAATTCTCTAAATTCTCTAAATTCCTCTAAATTCTCTAACTTCTCTAACTTCTCTAAATTCTCTAAATTCTCTAAATTCTCTAAATTCTCTAAATTCTCTAAATCTCTAATTCTCTAAATTCTCTAAATTCTCTAAATTCTCTAAATTCTCTAAATTCTCTAAATTCTCTAAATTCTCTAAATTCTCTAAATTCTCTAAATTCTCTAAATTCTCTAAATTCTCTAAATTCTCTAAATTCTCTAAATTCTCTAAATTCTCTAAATTCTCTAAATTCTCTAAATTCTCTAAAATTCTCTAAATTCTCTAAATTCTCTAAATTCTCTAAATTCTCTAAATTCTCTAAATTCTCTAAATTCTCTAAATTCTCTAAATTCTCTAAATTCTCTAAATTCTCTAAATTCTCTAAATTCTCTAAATTCTTTAAATTCTTTAAATTCTCTAAATTCTCTAAATTCTCTAAATTCTTTAAATTCTTTAAATTCTTTAAATTCTTTAAATTCTTTAAATTCTTTAAATTCTTTAAATTCTTTAATTCTTTAAATTCTTTAAATTCTTTAAATTCTTTAAATTCTTTAAATTCTTTAAATTCTTTAAATTCTTTAAATTCTTTAAATTCCTTTAAATTCTTATTCTTAAATTCTTTAATTCTTTAAATTCTTTAATTTCTTTAAATTCTTTAAATTCTTTAAATTCTTTAAATTCTTTAATTCTTTAAATTCTTTAAATTCTTTAAATTCTTTAAATTCTTAAATCTTTAAATTCTTAAATTCTTAAATTCTCTAAATTCTTTAAAATTCTTTAAATTCTTTAAATTCTTTAAATTCTTAATTCTTTAAATTCTTTAAATTCTCTAAATTCTCTAATTCTTTAATCTTTAAATTCTTTAAATTCTTTAATTCTTTAAATTCTTTAAATTCTTTAAATTCTTTAAATTCTTTAAATTCTTTAAATTCTTTAATTCTTTAAATTCTGTTAAATTCTTTAAATTCTCTAAATTCTCTAAATTCTCTAATTCTCTAAATTCTTTAAATTCTTTAAATTCTTTAAATTCTTTAAATTCTTAAATTCTTTAAATTCTTTAAATCTTTTAATTCTTTAAATTCTTTAAATTCTTTAAATTCTTAAATTCTTTAAATTCTTTAAATTCTCTAAATTCTCTAAATTCTCTAAATTCTCTAAATTCTCTAACTTCTCTAACTTCTCTAAATTCTCTAAATTCTCTAAATTCTCTAAATTCTCTAAATTCTCTAAATTCTCTAAATTCTCTAAATTCTCTAAATTCTCTAAATTCTCTAAATTCTCTAAATTCTCTAAATTCTCTAAATTCTCTAAATTCTCTAAATTCTCTAAATTCTCTAAATTCTCTAAATTCTCTAAATTCTCTAAATTCTCTAAATTCTCCAAATTCTCCCAAATTCTCCAAATTCTCCAAATTCTCTAAATTCTCTAAATTCTCTAAATTCTCTAAATTCTCTAAATTCTCTAAATTCTCTAAATTCTCTAAATTCTCTAAATTCTCTAAATTCTCTAAATTCTCTAAATTCTCTAAATTCTCTAAATTCTCTAAATTCTCTAAATTCTCTAAATTCTCTAATTCTCTAAATTCTCTAAATTCTCTAAATTCTCTAAATTCTATAATTTCTGTAATTACTTTTCAGAGCACCAGGCTGCGGTCGACGGCCAATGGGCTGAAGAAGTAGCACATCAGCGAGCTTACAGTAAGGCGAACGAGTCAAGATATCGGAGCCCCAATATGAACCAGCACTTGTATACATCTACACATTAAACATGTAGAAGAAATACTTTGACGTAACATTGTAAAGTCCAATAAAATACACGAATATAAAATCATCATTTTTTACTTTGACCCGTGGCACGTTAGAGAATCTGTACAAAAAATATAAATTTTTTTTATTAAATAAAGGGAATGAAATGTGACATCAACTTGTTTATTACGAATCAAATATGTACACATACACTACTAATTTCATTGTTCCATCTGGCTTTCACCTTTTGACATTTAAACAGGTATCTGGACTTGCCACATGCGGATCTGGTTGTTTGAGATTCATCGCTATCACCAAACTCATTTGTTGCAGCTAGCTGTTAACAAAAAACTATCTCAGTAACATCTCAAATGGTTGAATTTACGAATAACCAATAAAAATGCATTTATAAATATGGTGAAAATAGCATAAAATAACTATCGTGGCTTTATTTGAAATCATGTTGAAAGTATGCTTAAAATACCTATTTGCAAACATGGTGAATGTGCATCGAAATGAATATGTCGTTTAATGCCTGATATCTGCACAAAACAACGAGTTAGGAAATCCGTAATAATTCTCTCTTTTGATATTCTTCAATGAGCAGTAACACTAAATTCTGTGATCATTCCATTATTATTAAAGAGAATCAATAAAAAATAGTCTTTGCATACAGACATTTTTTTCCGTGCACTACTAGTTACTTCGCCTCGACATTAAATCTTTATTTCCGTCCAGACTAAGCACGCACCGAGCATGTGCCTCACCTGCCCCACACCGAACGCATAAAAATTCGTTCGCCTCGTTCAGACGTACACATAGGTATGCGCATGCGTACTCGGGTTGCCTCATTAGAATTCGTGCTCATATGCGTTCCCCTTCTTTAGAGGGTCTGTACAGCATAAGGCCGAGCAGTGATTATAGTGCATCGCCTCCCTTGTTAATAGAGTTTTGACTAGATGTCAAATGGCGCGGAGGTGATGATATATGCATTGTTTATTAGAGAGAAAAAGAATTAAAGTTGTTTTGAAGTGTGTGTATTACTGAAGATAATTCAACGGTACAATAAAACACTACAGAGACTATTCCCAAATGAAGCACAAGGTGAAGGAATCATTTCCTCTCCTTACGAGGACGATGTACTACAAGCATTCGAAGGAGACCCGAGAACTTCGGACCGTCAAATAGAAGCAAGCACGAGAGTGCCCAAAGGTACAGTCCACCGAATCTCGTGGAAGAACGAACTTCACACATATCACGTTCAGCGAGTATAGTCTCTGCAACCCCGGGATCATCTTTCAAGAGTTGAGATTTGTCAATTAAATTAAGAAAAAGAATATGGACTGATGGGTCGACATTTAAAAAAGATGGCTACATGTACCTATATAACTGACGTGAGTGGCATGTATAAAATCCATCCAATCTGTTGAGACAAGATAGATCACAGTATCGTTCTAAATGTGACAAGTCATACTGTCGGCGCCATCTGTTGGGTGAGTCTCCTACTCGCTAGAGCTTCATGGCCGATCTCTACTTTTACGCGAATCACGACCGCACCAGCCACCTGGCGGCGGCTATCAGGACCGTGACAGTGGATCTCACCTTCTAGATCGACGTGAAGTGATCTCCAACATTCTAGATATCGCTTCGTGGTTTTTCTCGCAGCGGTAATGGAACTTCGAAGTTGAGTCATTTATTTTAACAGTGACTAGATCTGATCAAAAGAAACGTTTTTTTCCTTTAACATTTTTGTGGTAAAATTAAAGTAAGAAAGTTATAGCCCTTTAGAAGTTTGAGTACCGCCCTGTCTCAATAATAATATTATGTGCTCGTGTTTGGCGACAACGGATATACTCCGCCTTATCGGTTCATCGCATCGGAAACAAAAAAGCGAAAGAATTTGAAACGCTGATCACGATGTTTTTATTCAGTCTGTGTCAGTCGGTAACGCGTGAGTGAATAGTGGTGTTTGCTGCGTGGCTCAAACGAAATGAAAAATGGCACATATTTATGCGGATCGGTTTCCCAATCGAGTGCAACCAACCCCTCGTGCCTTTGTTAATGTAGTACAACGGGCTCGTGAATCAGGTGACTTAAGACCTCACAGGGGACTGCATGCCGGTGCTCCAAGACCTCACGATCAAATACAGGTCCGCACTGAAATACTTGTCGGGAGGATACTTTATAAAACAAGGTAAAAAAAATTTATTAATTTTTTTTTATTTTTACACACATATTTTGGTTTATCTTCCTTCTACAATCATTATCTGAAAATTAATGACTCAACTTCAAAGTTGTATAACTGGAGTAGCAGAGCGAAGAGAAATATAGTGCAGTCAATGGTGACATAAGAATTAGTCAGATATAAATAGTGGTGCATATAAACGTTTTATCCAGTTAAATAAATTAGTGCATTTCTTTTTGTGGAATACAGTGTTTCAATCCACACCCAAAAAGAACCCAGAAAAACGCTACATTTTTTTTGACTTCTAGTGTCAAAAATTAGGTCAAGCTAAAAAAAGGTTTTTTAGATTCCTGAATTTTTAGTTTGAATATGGAGGAAAACTCTAAAAAGGATGGAGCTGGTGAGGGAGTGGAGAGTGTGGTCTCACTGAGTGAAAAGGGATTTTGTACAGAGGAAGTTTTGAAACTAAAAGATTATACCATTTCGATTCAAGGGAAATTAATAACAGAATTGTACGAAAAGATAGACCAATTAAACAAAAAAATTGGGAAGATGCAACAGCCGTCACAAGAAGCAGTTACAACTTACAGTCAAGAAAATGAAAACTAAATATCAAGCAATTTTAGAAGTGGATGCTGTGACTTTTAAGTGTCTTATGAATCAGGGTGTTATTTTTATCGACATGTCTGTTTGCTCTGTTTTCGAGTACATCAATGTTTTGCGATGCTATAAATGTACCGGATTTAACCACACAGCTAAATTCTGCAAACCAGCATTTTAATCTAGGATTACCTATTAATCATAGACCATTCGACAAAAATTGTGAAGTATATAAAAGGAAAATTGAGCGTGAGAGGGAAAAAATTAGTTATGCAAATGAATAGCAATTACTAAGCCCAGATTTTCAAGACGTGGCTAAATCTGTAAGTGATGAATATAACTCAATATACCATTTAAACATACAAGGAGTCCTGAATAATATAGATGAAGTTCAACAGTTTTTATGATGGAGAAAACCACTTGTATTATGTCTTACCGAAACACATGCTACAGAAGACATCACTGATGGTGAATTACAAATTACTAATTATAAAACCTACAGATGCAACTCCAACTCCAGACATACTGGAGGTGTAGTGATTTATGTTTACCACAAAATACAGATCACATTATTCGATTGTACCACTTTAGACTATGCATACTGGTATACACATATACAGTTCAAATTATTTGGGAAACGCTTTGATCTTTGTACCTTTTACCGTTCACCAAACAGTGATGCGGATACATTTTTAACGTTTTTTGAAGAAAAATGCGAAGAAATGTGGAATTTTAGAAACAATATAATACTTTTAGGTGATTTTAATTAAATTTGTCGTAAAAGCATGAAAACAAGAAAATTGAAAGAAACCATAAATAACTATGGGGTCAAGCAAAAAATTGAAGAGTGTACCAGACTAACATCATTAGCAAAGACTTTGTTAGATCTTGTTATTGTAAATTTCGAATGTGCAGGGATTAAAGCTGTACATACACCTAAAGCTAGTGATCACAGTTGGACAATGCTGCCCTTCGTAGGGCATTTTTCTGATACAAAAATTAAAAAAATCGTAAATACTATTAAGTACGAAAAACCTGAACGAGAACTTGCTGGCTGCTATTGGAATTTTGGTGAGAATATGGAAAAAATATATGTCAACATAATAGGAAATATAAAAACTTGTTTGGATCTTGCAACTGATAAAAAAGTGATTTGCTCAACAAAAAATACACACTGGTATAACAAAAATATTAAGGCAGCTCAAAATTTGAGAGACAAACAATACAATAAATGTATATTCACAAAATCAAATGATGATTGAGAGGTATATAAAGCTCTTAGGAATAAATGTGTGTATGTAATTAAAGAAGAAAAAAGGAAATTCTACGATAAACAAATCGGTAATAACAAGTGCGACAGTGTAAATATGTGGAAGACTTTAAAAAGACTGATCAATTCGAAGCCGCATGATTGTGTAAATCAAGTTCAATTTGAAAACGGTACCGAAACAAATTCTTTGGTGATTGCAGACAAACTAAATGAATATTTTGTGGAAAGTATTGTTGATATGGTGGGTACTGCCAATACTGCACCTGACTATATGAAAATCAGTTTCCAGGGGGAAATGTTGCATACACTTTCAAAATTTCACAGTGTATCATTGAATTATCTAAGAAAAAAGTTAACAGTTTAAAATCAAATAACAACTGTGCCGAAATCACTACTAAAAACGTGCTGAAAAACTGTTTCGAAATTTTCCCTGAGAAACAGTTCTTTTCCTGAAGATTTGTTCCCAAAATAAAAAATTCTATAAGATACAGCGATATGAGACCAGTAAATGTGTTACCAAACATTGAAAAATTATTAGAGTCCATAGTGCATGACCAATTAATGCAGTTTATAGAAGAAAACAAAATCTTAGTGGAGGCGCAAGCAGGCTTTCGAAAAAAATATTCCACAGAAACGGCTTTCCAGTTGGTAACTGAGAATTGGAGAAGAGCCACAGACTCAGAAGAAGTTGTCATAGCAGTATTTTTGGATTTGAAGAGGGCATTTGAAACGATTGATAGAGATATTTTGTTAGGTAAATTGAAGGCATATGGTATAACAGGAAGTGTTTTAGATTGGTTTAGAAATTATTTGTCTAAAAGGATGCAAGTCACAAAAGTTAATGACACCATTTTATGAAAATACGTTGAGTGTTCCACAGGGCAGTATCCTGGGACCACTTCTTTTTATTTTATACATAAATGATTTACCTGCCATAGTCCAAAATTGCAAATTTCAGATTTTCACCGATGACACTATGATTTATATAAGTACTAAAAATATTCAGTCTGGTATCTCTTATATAAATGAAGACTTGAAACTTGTCTCAAAATGGTTAGCATATAACAGAATAAAATTAAATACAAGTAAAACGAAAGCCTTGTTAATCGGAAAAAAACAATGTACAAATGTTCAACTGAATATTGATGGTGAAGAAATTAAATTCGTAGAAAATTTTAAATGCCTGGGGGTTTTTGTTGACTCTCGATTAATTTTTGATATTCATTATGAAAAAGTTATAAATAAGATTAGTAGTAAAGCGGGATATTTATCGAGAGTTTCTGGATGTCTGAGTTCATACAGTGGAAAAATTATCTATAATACTATCATTCTTCCAAATTTTTTGTACTGTATTTAGCAAATAATTCCATTTTAGAAAGACTGCAAATTTTACAAAATAAATGCATGATAATAATACTAAATAAAGGTAAATATACTCCAATTAGGCAAATGCTTAGCAAATTAAAATGGCTCAATATCATATATATACATGTAGCCATCTTTTTTAAATGTCGACCCATCAGTCCATATCTTGTAATGATATTTATAAAGTAAAAAATAATATATTTCGATGAGGTCTAACTAATTTAACATCATCAAATGTCGACCATCATTTACATAATACCAGAAATACAGATGACTTCCATTTAATGACCAAAAAATATAACATATGCTACAAATCTGTATTCCATCAAGGGTTGATTGAATATAATAAATTATAGTGAGAGATAAAAGACCAGAAAACTTTGACAAAATTTAAAGTAAAATTGAGAAATCACTTGTTAAATCTACAATTATAGGTTGCCCAGCATTTACATCATACACCATATGGCTTGCATTTACTAGTTCTAAGTTGTTTACAATTATTCTGTTTATGTAGCCAAATGTGCTAAATAAATCTTTCTACTACTACTACTACATAAAGTAAACATGTGGACGGGGATTCTACATGGGAGAATCATTGTAACCTTTGAGCTGCCAGTGCTCTGAATGACGAAATTTATTTAGACTTTTTACAAAATCATTTACCAAATTAATCGGCAGAGACTTAAGGTACCAGCAAGACGGCTGCCCGGCGCACTATGCCCGTTCAGTTAGAGAATTCGATTTTTTTACTGGGGAACGGTGAAAAAAAGGTCAATCGAAAAATTGGTTGAGCTATGGGACATAATATCGGAAGCAGTTGAATTTGTTAATAACGGAAGGATCGCCCGTTTGATAACCCGATCTTCTTTAGGATGTCAAGCATGCTTTGCTTCTGAAAGATTCAATAAATATATTCACGGATTAATAAAAGTGGCGTTACTATCTGTCTTGCTGTCTCTACGTAGATACGTAGGGCGTAGATTTTTCCGTCTTATTTTAAAGCCTATAATTTGGGAAGTACATGAGTTGGATTTTTTTTTAAATTCCTGATAACTACTATGACTTGGCCCATTCCCCGTTTTCCGGCTTGACGTCGGTTTCTGGGACACCCTGTATAAATATATTGTAATCTGTTGCATGAACATAATATTTTTTGTATGTAATGGGAAACCATAAGTAAATAAACAAATATGGGTAGCACCAACCTGATAGTCGCTGGCAGCTGACGCCTACTGAGAAGTGCACGGTTGACAGGCGTCAGCATCCAAGAACGGCCTGCCTGTTTCATCTCTAGGAATAATCCTTCGACGGTCTGAAGGCCCTGCGGAAGTTGATAAAAAAATTATTTTGGTATAGCGTTATATAATTCCATAAAAACAAACATTCGATCATCTATAACAATTTTACGTCACTCCGAGGTTATATAGACTACATAAGAAATTACTATACAGAGTATCATGACCCGCAAAAAGAAGAAGGAAGAAGAACAACAAGAAAAGCCTGAGAATGAAAAAAACTGCATCACAGATGAAGAAAATCGACCTGATTCGACTAATGTAAAAAATATATTAGAAGAGAATCGATCCCTGAAGAAAGCACTAGCAGAAAAGGAGGAAATAATTCGTCAGCTCAATAACGAAAATTTAAAACTAAAAGAGCAGCAGCTGTCAGTAAGCTCAAGTATTACCGAGAAGGATGCCATAGCATCAGCATTAAATAGAATTAACATGAGACTCGACGAAGTTGAGAAGAACCAATTAGTAAAGGAAAATTCATACGAACAAATCTTAAAACAAACGATACCTATTACTAAAAGGCAATCGCTAAAATGCATCACAGTTATTCCAAAAGAAAAACAATCTTGCGATAATACGAGAAGAGAATTGAGTAAGAGAATAAATCTTTCATCTCTGAACATTCAAATAGAAAGTGTGAGAAACTCAAAAAACGGCGGAATTGATATAAAAATTGATGAATCAAATCATAATAAACTGAAAGATGAACTTCAAAATAAATTGAATGAAAAATACCAAGTTACTGAGCCGAAAATGTTAAATCCAAAAATTAAAATAATAACTTATAAAAGTAGTGAGAAACCGAATGAAAAGCAAATTGAAGAAGATCTTATACATCAGAATTATATGATTCAGAATGGAGACATACAAGTAAAGTTTATAAAATATTTTCCATCAAGAAACAATTACACTATCTACGCGGAAACTTCTAGAAAACTATTCAAAAAAATCTTCGAAGACAATAATAGAAGAATACTTCTGGGGTGGCAATGTTTGACAGTATATCAAAATAACGACATTTCTCAGTGTAGAAAATGCTACCGCTTTAATCATACAGAAAAGAATTGCAGGAATGAGAAGATATGTGCCAACTGTGGCAACGGTCACGAAGGAGAAAATTGTAAGCATGTATCAATAGAATGCTGCAACTGTAGATATGGAAATGAAAGATATAAAAAATATTATAATATTAACCACTCACCTACCGACAAAAACTGTCCATCGTATAAATGTTATCAGGAACAACAAAACTTAAGGATACTTTTTAAAATTCAAGTTCATCTTTTGATACTCCTACCTCTAAAGAGGACCTAAAGATGTCAGTAAATAAATACATTAATGATTTCCAAATTCCAAGTATTGCAACAAATATAGCACAAAACGTCGATGAACTTAATTTATGTACACAAAATTCTGATGCAAAATTTAGAATTTTTAATATGAACATAAGGAGTATAAAACACAACATTGATTACGTAAAAATACTACTCGACCAAATATGGCACAATTTTGATCTAATAGTTTTAACTGAAACGTGGCAAGTGGTTGATATTTCTTGCTTCAATCAGCAGGGATATGACACGCTGTATAACTTTGGCACTTATAACCAAAACGAGGGGTGATAGTTTTTGTAAGAAATGAACTGCAATATAATCATGATACATTCACTTTCACCGATGGAATCGAAATTTTAAACATAATGATCCAAATTAACTATAACAAAATTGAGGTATCTGCAATTTATCGTCCGCCATGTTCAGAACCCCACGAGTTTTTAAAGAATATCGAATTTTTTTTTCAAAATCAAAATAAAGTTCATTTAAAGCAACATATTTTCTTGGGAGATGTCAATATAAATATTTTAGACGATGATCCCATCACAAATGAATACTTGAATATCCTATCAAGTAACGGATTTCTGTCCTATATAAACCTAACTACAAGGTCCATCAGTGGCACATGTATAGATCACTGCTTTGTGAAAGACCTATCCAACAAAATTACTTGTATACCAATAATCCTAGAAAGCGATATTACTGACCACTTCTCCACTATTTTACTGATATCTTCAAATGAAAAACATTCTAACATCCCTACCGTTAATAACAACCAGGAAAATTACAAATTTTTTGTCGACAATTCAAAACTAATATCAAATGTCAAACAAGAATCCTGGGAACAATTATACTCTATAAATAATATAGACAAAGCAACGGGACTGTTCATAGAGAAAATAAAAAAACTAATAGATATTAGTACCAATAAAGTAATAATTAGTCACAAAGAGAAAAGCAGAAATGCCTGGATTACCAAAGGATTAATAACATCGGCAATAGGAAAAGAAAGACTATATAATGTAATGAAACTAACGCCAACTACAGAGAATACCGACTGCTACAACCAATATAAAAATAAATTTATAGAGCTTGCAAGGCAAACCAAACGAAAACATTACCTAAATAAATTGAATAATAACTTAAATGATCCTAAGCGGCTTTGGACAACTATTGATGAGATTACTGGGAAAACAAAATTTAAAGAGTGTGTCACTGAGTTAAATACAACATCGGGAACAGTATTAAAAAATACTCAACAGATATGCGATGAATTTGTACAATTCTTTACTGACATAGGCGAAAATTTAGCAAGTAATATACGTATACAAGCAAATGTACAAAATACTCAGCCTCCAAAAAGAACTTTGAACTCATTTATTTTGGATAAAGTCGAGCAATGTGAAGTATACACCACTGTTATGTCCTTAAAAAATCGGAAAAGTCCTGGGTTCGATGGTATTTGAAAATTATAGCCGAGGACATAACAGAACCACTCACTTACCTAATCAACAAATGCTTTGAATCTGGCATATATCCCTCAATTTTAAAAATCTGCTAGTATGATTCGATACCTCACAAAATTCAAAATTTTAAGTGAAAATCAATATGGATTTACTGAAGGGAAGGCTACATCGGACGCAATAACTAAAACTGTAAATCAAATACATCAAAATATTGATAACAGAATCCCTTCAATCTGCATTTTTGTTGATTTAAAGAAAGCTTTCGACACAGTTAATCACAAATTATCATTAGAAGCATTGGAGAGAATTGGTTTCAGAGGAAACGCGTACTCACTGATCGGAAATTATTTGTCAAATCGCCCACAATCTGTGCAGGATCATTTAGTAAAGAAATGTATATTAAGTGTGGTGTCCCACAAGGAACTGTCTTAGGTCCGCTGTTATTCAATATATGTATATTTAAATGATATTTTCCAAATTAATTGTGTTGGCAAAATAACTAGTTTTGCAGATGATACTGCAATATTATATGAAGGCACTGACTGGTCTGATCTGAAAAATGTAATTGAAAATGATTTTATCAAAATTATTCGGTGGTTTAACAGTAGAAAATTAAGCATTAACTACTCTAAAACACATTTTTTACCATTTGGATCTTATGCTAGACATCTGCCCAATTACACAAATTTCTCCTTCAACATTAATGATCAAAAAATGCAAATTAATAGAGTGCCCAACATAAAATACCTTGGAGTAGTCTTGGATCCTCACTTACGATGGGACATCCATGTCAATTATATTTTAAAGAAAGTTAGATTTGTATCCTACAAAATTAAATACCTTGGGAATATATTGACAGACAAATATCTACGAACATTATACCATGCACTGATTGAGCCTCATCTCACATATGGTATATTAGCATGGGGAGCTGCATGTTCCTCACATATCTATAATTTAGAGGTTTTTCAAAAAAGTATTCTAAAAATGATATTTAAAAAACCGAAACTTTATCCCACTGAAAAATTATACGCAGATGTTCGAATGTATAAGACAGCTTTATTTCTTACACAGTATCACTCACTACCATAAATTTGTAAACACCGACCAAAAAATTAAACATAATCATTATACCAGATACAAAATTCGTGGCACAGTAGTTCCTCAACCACATAAATCTATAATGCAGCGATCATATCTCTATTTAGCGCCTAAATTTTATTAAATTATACCTAAAGACTTAAAAGATTTACGTTTCGGAAATTGTTTTAAAAGAAATTTAAAAAAGTGGCTACATTCTATATCTAGGACTGACATTCATAAACTCATAAATACGAACATCAACTAAATACATAATCTACTGTTGCTAATTTTTGTCCATTTTGTCATTTGCATTCTACAGTTTCAACTTAAATTATTGGTCCATGTACAGGCGATGCCTTCTATTGGGCTTGTTTTGATTTTATATTTATTTACTCATATTGTTTGTTATCTTTGTACATTGAGTGAATAAATATTATTATTATTATTATAATTATGAATATGATACCAGAAATAAAAATAAGCAAATAATTATTCCAACACAGAAAAAGAAAATCATGTTGAAATCATTTATATACTTAGGTTCAAAATTATATCATAACCTACCTACATATATGAGAAAAAACAAAATATCATTATTAGAAACAGATTTATCCGAGTGGGTATTAAATAGTAACGCGAAGTATTTTATGAAAACTATAACATATAAATATCTTTTACGAATTACTAATCTATGATAAACAATTACTGTACTACATTTATATTATATCAATTTTTTTCTAGCCCTTATCAATCAATTGCAACTGCTGTGTTATGCATGCACAAAGTATATTTTCTTTTTGTGGTATATCAATTAATCCACAATTATTTATAGTTGATGTGAATGAATACTATTATTATTACTAATATTATTATTATTATAGTGTCCCAGATTTGCTTCTCTATACAGGGATCTCTGCTCCTGTTGTACACAGTGGCGGCTCGTGCCAATTCAGTGAGGTAGTGCCAGAATGGAAGCCATAATTTTGAATCGATTCAAAATTGTAAAGAATAACTTATAACTTACCCCTGATAGTTAGTGGTCAAAGTTCTTGAGGTTCAATAAATCTATATGTCCAAAAAAAAAATCAAAAATAAAACTATTTACACACGCGCACCAAATTATAAAACAAGTGTGGAGAAGTA